ATATGGTCAATCGTTTGTGTGTCGTTTAAATGTCGTTTAATTGTCCAAAAATGATCTTGTTTCTACTTGATTGTATATCTCACAAACAAAAGGACTGGAATTTAATTTCTTCAAAGTGATCAAAATAAAAAAAAAATCTTAATTTGATTTAATTATTTTAACCAATTTAACCCATAACATCAGCTAATCATAATTTCCTTCACAACAATTAATCCAAATATTCACTTTACTTACTGTGTTCAATTGTTTTGTTTCCAATTTATCAGCTAATTGTAAACAATTTCAATCTTTTTGTTGATTTATTGTAATAATTATATAAGTATAAGAAAATCAAACAATCAACAAAATTAATCAACCAAATTTGAAACTTTTCAATGAAAATGACCTAATATTTAACCTATTGTTAAATTGTTTCTTATTCTTAGACTGACCTACTAAATTTCATTTAATTACCATTTAACAATTCAACCAATTTAATACAATTTATTAATTGGTTAAATCAAAAACCGCATCATAACCGTTGCAAAAGTAACTACGGAAAATGAATAACCGACTAATTGTCAATCTTTTCAATTAAAAATAATTTTGTTAACATAATCAACACCTTTTCACCTAATTAGTGCTAATTACCAACAATTAAATGTAACAAAAATATAATCATAATTATGATGATATTTTCCTAATTTGGTTTCCCTTTTCCTGATGTTAATCATTTGGAGGGAAAAGTTGATAAATTTAATTTAATTTTCTTTCGTTCATCTAAATATTTGTAATTACATTATTTTCTCAATCAATTAATCTTTTAATCAAAGTCGACGTAACAATTAAAAATATCAAACACTTTCTACATTTTTTTCATCTTTCATTGAGTCCTCACTATCTTCATCAATATCGCCAATTGATTGTCCAGTTTCTTCCTGTTGACCATTAACATCCTCATCCTCATCCTCATCCTTATCCTCATTTTCATCTTCATCATTACATGTTAATAAACCTCGAGATTTCAAAAGTAAATCAATCTCCTCCAATGGAGCTCTTAATCTGATTTCTTTTTCAACCATAATCGTAATCAAATCAGTTAGAAGATGAGGAAAAGTATCAATGGCATCGAGATAAATTATTCTTGACCAGGGACAATGTTGAACTGCCTGGTAAACAATTGATTCAGCTCTCTTGTGGTTTCCATGGGTCATATTGAATTTCAGGTAAAATCGCAAAGTAAAACAATACCTTGATTACAAGGAATGATAAACATCTTTCAAATAGACTATTTATCCGTCTAATTATACCATCGAAAGATTGGAAAGAGCCTTCGATCGAGTCTGAAAGAGAAAAACAAAAAAAAATCAGAAAAAAAGAATCAATTAACTGTTAACTTTATCCAAATGAACAATTCAACATTCAGGGTAATCAGAAACATCTCAATAACAATAATAAATCATTTCGAACTGCAATTTGCTTTTCTCATTCTAACCTATTTAAATGGGTTCCATTCAATAGATTTTCTTATGCCTCAAACTAATGAGTAAGGAAATTATGAGACCTTATTGACCTAAGGTCATCAACTGCCCTTTGGGCAGTTAAGGCCCTTAATTTTTGAAGGGGTTACGGTTGCAATTCAAATGCGTGACTTGCCTACTATTTGCAAGTTGCCTTTGATTGTTAACTTACCCCAACAATTAAAGATGAAAAGTAAATTAGCAAATGGATAAGTTGTTGTATTGTGTGAATTATGATCAGAAATAGTTGGTTAATTTGATAGTTACCTTTGATTGTTGTTAATCGTTTCAGTTCAAAGTGTAATTTAAAATCCAAATGTTGAGACAAGATGAATTTGTTGAACGGATTAATTGGGTGAAAAATCTGTAAGTGAAAAGACAACAATTAACAATTGATTTTCTGATAAAATTTATGTAACAATTAAGTTAATTACCTGTCAACTGTTATTGGAAGTGCGATATTGGTTTCAATTGTTGTGAACAATGAAAGAAATGGTTTATTATCAGGAAATAATTCTAATGCTGAACGACATGTTTGTCGCAATCGAGAGATTGATTTGATTTTTCGACGAGCATCAAATATCAACAATTGAAGGTAAATTGTGAAAATTCCAAGTAAATTACTTTGATCAACTAACCCATTCGAGAGTAAATTGTCACAACAATTAAATGCTTTGTCTGAATCGTCAACAATTAAGAGTAAAATGAGTTTAGAAAATGAAACGTCCAAATAATATTCATCTTCCTCTTGGGTCATCGTATCCAACATTTTCTTTGCTTTCAGAATTGATGGTGAGTTAATTGTTTCGATTGTTTGACCAATGGTGACACTTGTAATTATCTTAATCACTTGGGTTTCTGATTCTTTTAAATTTTCTCCAATATATGAAAGATCAGTTGAATGAAAATCTCTTGAGATACCAAGTAGAAGTTCACAATAATATCGTGTAAATGATAACAAATAGCGAGAATTATTAATCCTTCCGGTGAATAAGTTAATTGCTGTGGCGAAAATGTTAACAGCTTCTTTGGATTCATCAGATTTTTTCATCTCTAATTGTGCTAATTGAAGCCAAACATCTAAATCGTTTCGATAAATTTCCGTCTTAAGATAATCTTTGATTATCTTTTTAACTTCTTTGTACTTAATTGTTACATCAACTTGTTCAATTAGAAACTTTAACCGCCATATAATCAATTCCTTTTCCTGTTTCAATTGTCCTTTGAACTTTTCAATTGATTGAACGAAAACTTGATCTTGAAATGAAGTAAAACCATCGTAAATTGTAACTGGACGTAAATCGAAAAGACTTTTGACCGAAGAAAAAATTGGTTTATCATCGATTAGAAAATGATCATCAAGAATATCGGATGAATCAATGGAACCAAGAAATTTGTGAAAAAAGACAATCAGTTGATATTTAGTTTGATCAAGGCGAAAACGGAATAAAATTCTGGTTAAATCTTCTATGGAAACATTTCTTTCGGTGTCGTCGGCTTGATCGGCATCCGGTCCTTTAACAGGAAGCCAATAATGTCTTTCACGAAGTAGTTCAAGTTGCAACCAAAGTGCTGATTTATTGTTACTAAATTGTTCAAACAACGGCTCCTCTAGTTCATCAATTGGAAGCCTTGAAGGTCCTTGATTAATAGATTTAGTTTTGATCACATTCATCCAACCAAGAGCACCGGGTTCACCGAATCTAGAACAGCCCGAGTCCCAAAAGGGTTCAAGTAACACTTTCCATTCGGCTACAGGTTGTTCCAGGGTTAAAATTTCGGGTGTAAACAGATTAAATTCAATGAGAATTTGCCAAATTGCAATTGATTTCTCTTCATATCCAGACTGCCTCAGGCAAATAGTAAAATGATAAAGACATTTAAGTATTTCCATCTCAAGGTTCGGTGTAATTTGGTGCGTTTGGAAGGTTCCCTCTAACATTGAGGTATAAATATCGAAACATTTATAAAATGCTCGAGTTATTTTTGTAATAGAAAAATATTTAAGATGAGTTTGTAAGAAGAGGAAATAATTTTTCCAAACTAACGGTACATTCGGATGAATGAAAATTAATCGTTTCCACTCTTTGTCAAGATCAAAAGGTGTCGAGGTGAACCTCATTATCTCAAGACGCTCTAAAATAAGACGCATACATTTTGGATTAGATTCCAAAGCTTTTTCAACGATACTGAGCTTCTTTTCTGCTAAAACGATTTCACGGGATTTTCTACAATTTTCCGATGCTGACCAGATGAAACAATCTTCTTGCCATTGAAGAAATTTGAACCAACCTTCGATGTCGTTTGGATGAGATCTCAAGTGTTCATTGAATTCCTTGTTCTTGTTTTGTATTCTCTTCTCATCTGTTGACAGGGAGGAAATTTCTACATCTTTTGAGGCCGAATCTTTGGCGGGATCTTTGGCTTTTATGTAAAATGATGTTACAGAATCATGGAAATCCTTTATACTATCGCCAATATTGCGAGTTTCATTGGAAATGACCTTAAATGCTAACCCAGTTACCGGTATCATCTCGGGTAAATTAATTGTTTCTCTCTCTGTGACTGATGGGAAAGATTCAGTGTCTTCGGGTGTATCATTGATCATCTTTTGTAGTTTTGAATCGAAATATCTTTCGGTTGTACTTTGTCGACCTTCATTCAAAATTTTACGCAAAGATTTGGTCCTTAGGCACTTTTTCTTATCATATGATGAAACGTAGATTGTAAATACTGTCGAATGCTAGATTATTTCTATCTGGTCGAGTATCTTGACGAAAAGCTTTTCAGGCGGAAGTCCAACTTCTTCTAGAAACACTTTGTTACCAAAACATTGCTATTATTTTCCTCTCTAATGATGGTCGGAGATTCTGATCTGTCAGTATCTCTTTTACGACTTTCCCTATTTTTATGACCTTTTCTCTTATCTCTTGATCGACTGGAAGGCGAATCATCATCTCTTTTCCTTCGGTGTGAATGTTTTCGTCTTGTTGCACTTCTGGATCGACTTCTGGAATTACTAGAATCTCGATATTTCTTTGATTTCTTCTTCTTTTTCTTTGCTCTATCTTTCACGGTAACAATTTCTTCGACTAGTTCAAGATCACTATTTCCATCGGCAACAGAATCACCAATCTCTCCAGCTGATAATTTACCTAATTCACCACTTAATTTACTTTCCTTGGCACAAACACCACCAACATCATCATCACCTAGTAAAGTTTCAACCGGCACTTGGAAACTTTGATTATAAAGCCAATCGGTATTAGTAAGATTTTACTAATACCGAAGATAAACTAGACGCCGAGGGAAACATAATCGAAATAGAAAACAATTTAAATAGTTGGAAAATATATACAAACAATTAGATGGAAAACATGATTAAAATCTTCTCCAAATGAAAACATTGAAAAAATTCTTCAATTTTGTTTACATCTCAAGTTGTGTTTAGAAAACACAGATGGCGCTTCCTTCGTATTTACGCCTTTTGTTTACTTTTGTTTCCTTTTGTTTTTAATTGTTACTCTTTAATTGTTGTTAATTTTTTTTATCCATAATGAATTTGATTAATAGTAAATTCTCAAAAAATGTTCGAGATACTTTGATAAAATCGTTTAAAACGTTAGGTCGAGATCCGAGTTACTTTTCTCAAGTCAAACAAGATGAAAGTGAAACTCATTCTTCTGATTTTGGTGAGTAGAAAATATTTTTTTTTAAATTCTAATTGTCATTTAATTAGACTAATTGTTTGTTTCTTTTTTATTTTATTCTATTCTTTTATGACTTTTGTATAGACTCAACTGACATGGGTTCAGAGGAACCATTCCTTGAATCAGCCAATCCAACTAAAATGATCCTTTTCTTGGAATACATTGTAACCAATGAGCCGGACAAAGCAGATGAATCAATTTATAACAGTTTACTTGATTGTTACCTGATTGTTTATAAAAAGGAATCAAATCAAGATGAATGTGATAATTTACGTAAAAAGATTATGTCACTTTTGAAAGACAATGCTGGAAAGTATAGCTTTGAACAAGCAATGATCTCATGCCGGATGAACCATTTTATTGATGGATTATTATTTATCTATCAACAAGCTCAACTTTATGATCTTATACTTGATTATTACATTGAAGTTGATGATGTTAATATGATTGTGGACACTTGTGAAAAGTTCAGCGAGGAAGATGAACGCCTATGGGTTCGAGCATTTTGGTATTTTGCCAAAATTCCGGAAATTGAGATGTCCCATTTACATCGAGTACTTGAAGAGGTAGACAAACGTAATCTAATACCACCCATAAGTGTCATCGACATTTTATCAACCAATTCACCGAATGCCACTTTAACTGCAATCAAAGATTATCTAGTCCGTTGGTTAACAAAACAAGTGAAACTGTTACAAAAAACAATGAGCTTATTTCAGAATATCAAGAGTCAACCGAAAAGATGAGAGATGAAATTGAATCAATTCGAACTCAGCCCAAAATATTTCAATCAAGTCGATGTTCATCTTGTAAGATGCACTTAGAATTACCATCAATCCATTTTCTCTGTGGTCATTCATATCATCAGGGGTGTTTGGAATCACCAGAGATGCCATCAGACTCACCGAGAGACAAAGGATGTCCACTTTGTTTACCTGAGCAAATTAGATTAACAACAATGATCACAACACAAAGGAAAACAATTTCGGTTCCATAATAGATGATGATTAACAATCAATTCCAAAAATTAAATTTCTACATGTACATACATATATTCATAAATATATCTTAAAGAAAAGATTCAATTCCAAATAATCTATGTAAATATATCATCATTATCATCGAATCTAATATATATATATGGTCAAGCCTCCAGCTGATTGTGTTATTTTCCCACAAAGAGACAAAATAATTTGGACAATCAAAAATCCTCCAAGATAAATGAAGAAAGTTAGAAAGTGAAATTGTAATTGCTGTTAAAAAATGTCACAACAATTATCAAAATTGTCATTCATTGTTAACTCTCAACCACCACCACCAAAACAACAACAATGATAATGAATTGAAATGGAATCACTTAATTGCTGGTTAATCAACAAAAACTACTCCTGTTAAAACCTGTTACACTTTTACAACAATTTAACACCGCAACAAATGATTCATGTTTATTAAATAATTGTAATCAGTAGCAACAATTACAATGAAACCGCCATCAACATGAACACCATTATTATCACCAACACCAACATGATCACAACACCACCAACAAGAGCAATTTAATTGAACCTGTTAAATGTTAATTCCTAATTAATAGGAAGAGAGGGATAAAAGAAGGAGTGAATTTTCATGAAATCTAATTATCGTAGTTGCGGTTGATTGTTGAGTGTAAAAAAACTCACACACACACAGACAGAAAAGCAGAAAAAAAAAGTCAAATTGAAATAATTAGAAAAGAGAAACAAAATTATAAATTATTATCATTAGTTGATACGTTAATTAGTTAGTTATTTAACTACACAGAATGATTAGATTCCCAAACAAATAACAACAAAATAAATGGTCATTAAATTACTATTAGTTAACTTCTTACACTTAAATAATATAAACGTAGTCACGATTAGCAAGGTAACAGAAATTAACTACAAATTCACCCAAGACTCAATTCAAAAGCTTTTTTGATTTAATTCCCTTTTTTTCACACAAATTTAAAGTTAATTTTAAAGATTCTAATCATCATCATTATAATTAACAATCATTATCATTACCATGATTTGTATTAATCAATTTGAGAGAGAGAGAGGAGAACTTGTTTTCTACTAAATTTTTTATTTAACTCGCGATTAACTTGATTGTGTTAACCATTTTCATTAACATCACAATTGATTCTGACAAAATTGACTGCGAGAAACAATCAGTTAATTTTCAACTACTATTACGTGTAAATTGTTTGTTGATTGTGCAAAATTTAACTATAAACAATTTAACTGAACCACAAGAAAAATTAATATCATTTACAATTAACTAACTTTCCAATATTGTTGATTGTTGAAAACAATTAGACAATCAAAAATACTCATTTAATTGTCTCAAACCATGAAAGTCAATTAGATGACAATTGAATGTGTTTGTTGATGATTGGAAAACAATTTATTTAATTGTTTATCAAACTATATTTAAACTCATCATCAGGATGTATCCATCTTCACTTATTAGTTAGTTAATTGTTTTAAGGTTAATTTGCATAAATGAAGAGGATGAATGATGATTAAGCTAAATATTTGTTTTCTAAATTGTTTATCATCCTCATCATTTGGAATCGGAAATGTCAAACAAATGAACTGAAATCGACATGAACCTTGACCCTTACTCTTGATAAACTGACCTTTTCTCATCCTCATCATCACATTGCCTCATTATCATCATCATCATGTGTATTTTGACACATTCAACATTGAACAATTTAAATAATTAGTTTGAAAACTTTGATTAATGTAATTAATTTAGTTTGAAACTAAAATCAATTCTTCAACTGAAAATATTCAATTTACCAAAATTTTCAATTGATTAGTTGATTATTTCGCGTTAATTTAGTTTATTGCAACCAACAATCTAACAATTGATTGATTTCTAATGATGATTTGATTAATTAATTCAATTAACAAGTAATTTAACTTTGGTGTAAACACTTAATGATTTTTTCAAAAAAACGCAACAATTAATAATCAAACCTTTAATTGCTTCAGGCTGATTAATTCTGATTGATTGATTTAAATTGATTGACACTTTTCATTTGGGTGGTTGATTATCATCATCGTCTCATAATATAATCTTAATCATTGTTAATCACAAAACCTTTGACAATTTAACAATTATTGATTAAACTGTAAAGATTAATACTTAATTTGATTAAGAGCTAAATCTAATTTAGTTTGATTGTTATCATTAAATAGAAAACAAAATTATACCAATCAAAATGTTAATCATTTTAATGATTAACTGATTCACCAAAAATCATGAACCTTTAATTGTAATCACGATTTTAATTGTTGAATCTTGATTAATATTCACAACCAACAGAAGCTGCTTCTGAATTGTTCAATTGGTTACAATTAAACTCAATATATTTTTACAATTAACTTTGTTTTTTTTTAATTATGAAATGATTACAATTAAATTCAGTCAAATTTGAGTAAACGGCAGTGGTAAACAATAATTAATGTTTAATTGTAAGATGTTTAATTAAATGAATATCAATCAATTATATTGAGAAGAGAAAAAAAAATTTTCTATAAAATATAAAAAAAGAAACTAAATTAAATTTAATTTCTGTCTTAAGTCTGAATGATTGATGAGGATCAACAACAATTTACCTTTAATTAACCAATTGGCTAAACATTTGGTTAATCAATTGAAAGGTAATTAATAATAATAAACTGTTAATATGTAATAAGATTCAGATGAACAAACTTGACAAGTTTGATTGTTTGATTACAATTATCATCATCATTACGAGTAATCAGTTAATTGAACTATTAATTGCGAGCAAATTACCAGTTAATTGTCAATTAGATTGTAAAATAATATCAAATTTAATTCGGAATCAGGAATCTTAATATCAAATCGTCAGCACGTTGTCATGGTGATAGCATCTCTTAAAGATGAGGATGGAGATGAAGATGAAGATGAAGATGAAGATAAAGATGAAAACATTGTATTGATTTGCTATTGATTGTTAAAACTTTTGCCAACTGTAAATGTTAACAGGCAGACACTAAATTAACCTGAATCGTTTTAAATTGTTGTTGAGTTAATCACAACAACAAGTGATAAACATGAAACCAATTGAGCAATTTGAAGTGTTTTTGCTGAACTATAATTGGTGATTTAGTGTGGATGATGAATACATTCCATACTACTCTGGCACAGGAAGGGGTGGGGAATACTACTTCCTTTCTTCCGTCCCTCCTCAAACCCCACCCCAAATGCACTCATGCATAACCAAAATAAACAAAATTGTAATCAGTCAACCGTGAATAAAATTACGCAATCGTGATCAGTCAACCGTGAATAAAATTACGCAATCGCTTAACCTTGAAAATTTACCGAAAGTGTGATCACTCAATCGTGAAAAATTAGGCAATCTCTTAACCTTAGCTAAATCTAAAAGTATAAAAGGCAGGAAGTTCATACATGAAGTATAGTTTCATTTCATATTCAGAATGGATAACAGTGAAGAAATTTTGTTTAGTTATTCAGCTAACTCACGTGGTGAAGTGAATCACTTTCTTCTAATTAAGAAAAGAAAGATGATTCATTTGTTTACCGAATGTTTATCAGTTCATGGACACCATCATGTGCAACTGGTGATGTAGCTGATGGACCAAACTTCAGTGTCAGTGTTCATTAAAGAAATTCAAAAGGTTCTCTTAGCTTTGGATGATCCGATGGGATATCATTACATCAAAGATAAGCTTTCAAGTCGTATATGATTGCTATTTTGAAGAGTAAAGACTTCTCGGAAAAATTTGAAGAAGCTTTAACCAAACATGATCAAAAGTAAAATGTATAAAAGCCAACTTCATATCCTGAAAAACCACAGTTTAGTTTTGTGAGCAGAATGGATAAGTTGGAAATTATTTTTGATTATAAAAGGTGTTCAAGACCAATAACACAACATTATGTATTGGAACGGAAGCAAGGCGATAATGGAACATGGACATATCAGATGTGTATTTACTCTTTGTTTGCTCCTGGATTTCGAGATAATCTTGTTGATGGGCCGACCTTTTACATCAAGTGTACATTGGAAGAGTTCAAAAGAGTTCTTCAAGAATTGGATGATCCTATGGGTAATCATGAAATTAAGAGTGATGACTTTTTCCCTCGGACATTACCATCGTTCCATATGGTAACGGAAAAACCTGGACTCTTTACTTATCATCAAGCAATGGTAAAGATTGAATACGATGTTAAATTTTTCAATTCTTATCAAATTTCTGTTTTGAAAAGTAATGATTTTCAAGAAAATTTAATCATATACTTGTAAAATACAAACAGTAAATAAAAATGTTTAATCGAAAAAGTCTATTCATTTACATGAAAATGTTGAATCAATTTACTCACTTAAGGATTGATGAAATAAAAACGCATGTGAAACGCGTCATTCTCATGTAAAGAAGAAAGGATAAAAGTGAAAAATTTTGGAATTGGATGAATAGAGCAAAAGCCTATTCATTTACATGAAAATGTTGAATCAATTTACTCACTTAAGGATTGGTGAAATAAAAACATGTAAAACGCGTCATTCTCATGTAAAGAAGAGGATAAGTGAAAAAATTTTGGAATTGAATAAATAGATCAAAGCCTATTCATTTACATGAAAATGTTGAATCAATTTACTCACTTAAGGATTGGTGAAATAAAAACGCATGCAAAACGTCATTCTCATGTAAAGAAGAAAGGATAAAAGTGAAAAATTTTTGGAATTGGATGAATAGAGCAAAAGCCTATTCATTTACATGAAAATGTTGAATCAATTTACTCACTAAGGATTGATGAAATAAAAACGCATGCAAAACGCATTCATGTTGATAATGAGTGGAAAAAATTAGCAAAAATTAGTTTATTGATGTTGACGAAACATGATTTGATGGCTTGCTTTGCAAATGCATTATCATGTATCTGATTTTGAAAACTAAACATTTTCTTATAAAAAATCCCTGTAAATCCTCTTGATTTAATAATAATATTTGATTAATATCGTCGATAGCTGCAGTATAAGAATCAACTAAATTGTTAGTATTTTCATCACCAGTTGATGAAACTTCTCTCTCTTGCATTGCAGTGCAGCTACTTCTAAATCAGATTTGAGAAGTGAAATCTCATTGAAAATGACATTAAATCCTTCGCCTCTTTCCAACATTCTTTGCCATAACGCGAAACTGTTTCCAATAGATAAATAAAACGCTTCCATATCTAAAAAGAAATAAAAAGGGACAAACGTAAAATCATTAAAATACATTTAATTTGTAGAAGAAATTTCATTGCTTTGATCAGATACATTTAATTTTTGTTCAATAATTTGTTCGTAAAAGGAAAGGGAAAGTATAAAATCAGGTTGGGAATATTGATATAAATCGATGGCCATTTCTAAACTAATTATGGCCTCGTTGTAGATAAAAAAGTTCATCCTGAATTTCTCCATCGGAACTTGTAATGAAACTGATGGTGGACATTTCCACTTCAAACGTCTTACAAAATTTCGAACCCGCTCGACAAGATCTTCAAATCGTTCATTCAGGTCAATTGTGATGAAATCATCCATCGCATTGAGTAATCTCTCAATAATCGTTCCATTCCTAATACATAAAAGAAAAAATAAGAAAAAAAATTAGAAATTGACATTTAAAACAAGTAAAATATTACTTTTAATCGTTCAGAATCGGACGGAAAAAGTCCATCAGTTGAAGAAGAAACTTTGGAAGAATTAGTTGAATTTGTGTAAGGCAGTAAAGGGTGAGAGAATCACAATAGCCACGAATTTGTGAACAGACACGATCTCACATCATCACGTGTTGATAATAAATGGATAAAGTGGTTAAGGTTTGTGATCACGTCATTTATAGCGGCGGTCATTTCACCTTCATCACCTTCTCGCCGTCCGTTGATGATATCATATTCTCACTCATGCGCTGTAACCTTGAGTGAGGGGCCACGATAATTAATGAGTCGCCAGAATATGATAAGTTGGGCTGTCATTTATAATTAGGGTCATTACGTCATATAATTTGAATACGACGGTTAGATAAAAAGCGGAAACCGTCATTATGAGTGAGATGATGGAGATAATTGTTATATTGTCCGCTCTCTTATTCGAACTGCTTTTTATTTGTCTTGTGTACTGGTTGGAGTACGAATCTATTAAAATATAAAATGAAACCTTTATTTAAAATTGTGAATATGGTCTCTCTCTGGAAAGTTGATAGGACTTTCATCATCAATAGTAAAGAGTGCAAAACAGGGAAAAAGTTCAATGCTGAAGTGCTAAAGTACAAGGAAGGAAAATATCTAATCTTCGCTTCGGGTTCTATTACTGCTGTTGGTTTCTCTCAACTGCACATGCGAGAGGACTGGAATATTTTTCCACTACAAACTATCGACTGTTTACGTGTTATCAACATGGTAGCTTCTGGTCAAATATTTATTCGAAATTTTGATGAACTGACTAAATTCAAAGAGGTAATGTGGGAGCCTGAAATCTTTCCCGCTGCTTACTGGTATTACCAGAAAAAGTGTATTTCAATCTATCCATCAGGTAAAATTATAATTACTGGCGGTCGACACCAGAGGGAGCTAACTGAAACTTTCCACAGATTCAAGAGGTATATAAGACAGGAGCAGAGTCGAAATGATTCAGTCAAAAAACATGTCTCAATTAAATTGGCACACGTTAAGTCAAATCAAAATCAACCCTAATCAAAGTTTCATCATCTCTTGGGGAACCGATGGAAACAACAAAATCGTTTGTGGTCGTGTTCATCTAAGATACTATGTCGCTGGTATCCCTACAAGATATGGTGTTGCTCTAAAACGATGGGATTGAGTCGTCTCGCAAGCTTCATGATTGGTCATATCAACGGAACGGATACAAAACTACAGGATCAAATTGATGAACTAACCATCGATCGAACCGTTTGTGGAGATTATCTTCTCTCGAAACGGGATCGGAGGATTTCCATCAAGGCTGATGATGTAAATAAAATTCTCAACCTTATCCCTGGCCTTTGTTTTCTTCTCGGCTTCCTAAGACCCGATGCATTCATCGACTGTCAAAACCCTGGTAAACTACTTGAAGATGTTTTCATCTGGTCACGGATTATCAAGGAAAAGGATATCGATCAAACCTGGGATGGAGGAATGTTTCACTACCGGTAAACTAAATCTTGATCAAATTCGGATCCTTCAAAAATGGATAATCTTTATGATACATTCAACACTAACATCGGAGCGATGTTGCTGCCCCTGTTACTTGTAGCAAGAAACAGTTCAACTCTCGGATCATGGGTCAATTCATTGAATCTATCAGAACCCTTCAAGAAAGATCCAGAGATGATCAAGTCTCTTGCCCTTGTCCTGCGTGGGGTGAGTCCCTTACCAAGTAGTATAAAGAAGATCTTGGTTCCAAAATTCATCATTTTATTATGGATCGTATTTGTGGTTACTTCGATACTCAAGGGTTCTATCATAAGGATTATTCTATCCTGCTGAAGTGGCTGTTCTTGGTGGTTGTGTTACCATGTCGATCGCTATTGGACACCCTTAATCCTGACCACTTCTCAAACAAAGATAGAAAAAGATCGCCTTTGCTGAGAGATACCACGGAATCCCGTTCATATCACTTGATCAGAAGATGGAACCAAATCTTCTCCGATAATGCTACATAATTTTTACAGGTAGAGTTGCCCTGGTAAAGATTTAATCGCTTGTAAATCACTGGAAGCAGGATTCTTACCACTCTCGCTATTCCTTGTATTAATGTTATTGATATTGGTGGAACTTGGAACAATATTTCCAAGGAGAGAAAACCTTGTCATTTACATAAAAGCGGTAATAAATGTAGCTTGAATGCTACTCAATCTTAAAGATTGGTTGACTCTTTAGAAAATAAAAATATTTTTTTTCTAAAATGTTTGATATTTATTTAAAACATCCTTTCACCATGTTAATCGCCGGTCCAACAGGATCAGGTAAAACACAATGGGTGAAGAAATTAATTAATAACGCGAATACAATATGTTCACCTCCACCTTTACGTATTCATTACTTTTACGGTGAATATCAGAAAACTTTTGATGAATTAAATCATGTTAATTTTATTAAAGGTTTACCTGAAAATCTAATTGAAAAAATAGACGGAGCTAATCCTGAATGGATCATTATAGATGATTTAATGCATGAAACATCAAATTCTAAATTTGTTTCTGAACTTTTCACAAAGGGGAGTCATCATCGAAACATCTCAATTATTTTAATTGTTCAAAATTTATTCGTTAAAGGAAATGAAACACGAAACATCTCTCAACTCTCAATACATGATTCTATTTAAAATCCGAGAAATCAAATCATTGGATCAACTATCCTTGAGCAAATTTATCCAAATAAAGTCAGTAAATTTCAATCAATATTTGAAGATGCAACTAGAAAACCTTACTCATACTTATTTATTGACATGAAACCTCAAACACCTCATGAAGTTAGATTATTAACTAATGTTTTAGGTGAAGATTTAATGTACGCTTATGTTATATAAAAATCGAGTTCAATGATTCTATTAAAATGTCAGTTAAACAAGCATTAACAGTTGAACCGCTTGGGTCCTTAGTTAAGGCTCAATTAAGAAGCGGAAGCTGATGATAAAGAAACTACCGATAGAGTTTTACGAATTATTAGTGGAATAGCCAGAAATATGTTGACAGGTAAAATTCTTTCACCTGGCTCTTTAAAAGAATTAAAAATATAAAAAAGATATAAGAAGTATTGGAAAAAGGAAAGGTAAAAACTTGAGAAAAATAATTTCTCAGAAAGGTGGAGCTTTACCAGCTTTACTTATACCAGCATTAACTTTATTAGCTAACATTGTTGCTAGTAAAATATGAACACAGTCACAAAAATGATTCTCATCTCCGAGGATCAGTATAATCGCAAATGTACTGAAGATAAATCCGAATTATTACCTTTACTCAATTCAAATCTATCGGATGATCTTAAAATTAGATTCATAAATGAGGTACTGAAAAGAAAAGGTCAGAAAATGATTCTTCCAGAACCAATAGAAACAAAAATCTCTCAATCAATACCTGAAGCAATAAAAGAACCTATTTCTGAACCAGCAATTGAACCAACAATTGAACCTACAATTGAACCTACAATTGAACCAGTAAATGAACAAAGTAATGATTTGAATGATGATGAAGATGATTATCAAAGTTTCAGTTCAAATGTTTCAGAAACTTGGACTACCAAGGCAACGAGATTAAAACTGTTACTTAATAAAATTCCCGGACTAATTAACGCAAATGGACAAGTTGTTGAAAATAAAAAACCTTATGCTAGAAGTGATATTGATGATGTTATACGATACATAACTAGTCGCAATGATCCAACAAGAGCACCACCAGGGCTAAATATGTAATTTCATAAATGATTTCTAAACCAGAGTTAAGAAGCTATATTAGAAATGAGAAAATAGATCTCATTGTTCCAGAAAAAAGTTGTAACATGGCTTCAGGCATCAGCTTTGAGGATACTTCAACCCAGAAAGGGCGGATCCTTAGGTGGATTAAAACGATTTTTATCATTTAAAAAATTCAAATCCATCCGTTAAATTGAAAGATGTTCAAAAATGGTTGAAAGATCAGGATGAATATAATTTATTCAAACAAACAAAAAAACGTTTCCCTCGTCTTCCTATTCTCGTCAATAAAATGAATGAACAATGGCAAATCGATTTAATGGATATTGCCTGGATGAGTAAACACAATGATAATTATCGTTATTTACTAAACATTATTGATTGTTTCAGTAGATTTGCTTGGGTTATACCAATAAAAACAAAAAGTGCAACCGAAATTGTTGATGCGTTTAAAAAATTATTTACGAAAATTAAACCTGAAAAAATTCAAAGTGATCAAGGAAAAGAGTTTAAAAATGTTCAATTAATTAAACTTTTTAAAGAAAATGGAATCAACTTTTTCACAACAACTGATGGGACAGTTAAATGTGCGATTATCGAGAGATTCAATAGATCGTTAAGAAATAGAATCTCTAGATTTCTTTATCATAAAAATAGTCATCGATTCATTAATGAATTGGATTCAATTGTTAAAGGATATAATCGATCTTTTCACAGAACAATTCAAATGGCCCCATCAGAAGTAAATAAAAATAATGAGAAACAAGTTCTATTGAATATTAGAAAAACTCACATAATTAATAAAGCTAAACAGAAACCTTTCAAGTTAGGAGATACAGTTAGAATCACGAGATATAAAAATATTTTCGAAAAAGGAGATACACCAAATTTTGGAACCGAAATTTTTGTAATTCGTTATGTGAAAAAACTCCTCAAGGTTATATTTATAAATTAAAGTTTAGATGATGAAGAAATCACATCAATTTTTATCAATATGAATTAATACTAACAAAGAAACCATCTCTATATAAGATCGATAAGATCATTAAAACAAGAATAAATAAACGTACAAAGAAAAAAGAATATTTTGTTTCCTGGGTTGGTTATCCGTCTAAATTTAATCAGTGGATTGATAATGTCGAGTCAATCTGATGAATATTATATTGAAGCTGTTTCCAACGCTATGGATCTTTTCCTGAAAATACTCTGACTAAATTTACTAATCGATTGCATCATCCAATCAATCTAATAGGAGAATGGGTTGTAGCTATCCATGAGATATTTTATCCCGTTGATTTAGTGATTGATAGAAAAGAAATTTATCTCACTTTAGAATTTCCTGATGGACAAAGAAAAATCAAATTCGAAATAAATGAAATTGATGGTTTAGAAGGTGTGATTCATAACATCAACACAAGATTAAAAGAAATTTATGATGAAGTGATTTCCGTTATTCCAGCAAAAATTGCTAAAAGAGAAAGTGATAAATTTGATCCAACAGACGATACAAAAATGGATACATTAAAACTTCTCGCTATTACAGATGAAGAAATGGAAGCGATGGGATCAAATGTCTATCGAAGAAAAATTCAAAGTTTAATTGGTCGAATCGCAGCGGAAATTGAGAAAGAAGAGGAGGTTAAGAAACAAAAAATTCTCGAAATGAATCATAAGAAAACTATTCAACAATTAAAACAACGTATCGAAATCGAAGAGCAACTTGAAGAAAAAAAGGTGAAAATTAAAACTAAAGAAACAGAAATTAGCGAGAAAAATGATATAATCGCTAATCAAAGAACTACAATTGATACCCTGAGGGAGGAAATTAAAGGGCATGAAACAAAAATTTCCGCTAAGGATCAAGAAATCTTGATGTGTAAAAATGCAGCAGATGAACAGAATAAAATTAAAACAACTTTTGATGAAGTCTTTCAGCGTTTAGATGATGGTATATCAAAATTAATCGAAATTATTGATACACAAACAAGCAGAAAAGCTACGGCGGAAGTTGATATCCTAAAATACAAAAACAGTCTGACCATTGAAAATGAAAAACTTGAGAAATTAACTCAAGAGATTAAAGATAAAGAAAATGAACTGAAAAAAGCTAATGAAAAATTACATACACTAATAATAACTAGTAAATCTGATAATAAATCGAATGAAAAGATTGAGGAGATCATAACAAAACCTGTTGAAGAGTTGAAAAAAGTTAATGAAAAGTTAGATGAGATTATATCAAAACCAGATGAAGAGTTGAAAAAATTAAATGAAAAATTAGATGTTATTGCGTCAAAGCCCGAAGAAGATTTGAAAAAGGCTCATGCTAAATTGGATATTTTATTAGCATCATCAGGTTCCAATCCTAAAGTGGTTGATTTACAATATGAAATAGTTCGAACATTGAGCGATATTATTCGAGCGAAAAATGAATCATTTAATACAACTCAATCATTTGCATTTGCATTACAAAGACAATTAATGGACTCTGAAAGAGCTTTGGTAAATAGCAAGATCATAATTGAATCGAAAGAGAAACAACTAACCGCTGAAAGAGAAATGAAAAAACTTCAACAAGATGAAGCAGATCGACGTCTCGCGGATTATGAAAAAGTGATTGCTGAAAAAAATAAAAGAATTGAAGAACTTGAAAAAGAAAAGACTGAATTAATAGCTCAAAGAGACTCGGCAAACGGTCAAATTTTAACCGCTTTGAATGAGATTTCGAAATTACAAGCGGAAATAAAAGAAATAAAATCAATTACCAAAACAATGAATGATGCTCTTCAAACAGAGATCACAACAAATCGTGAACAGGATAAAAAAGTTCAAGCAGAATTAGATGAAATAAAAACCTCGATCGAAAATATTGAAAAAAATATTGAGAAATTGACTGTTAAACGGAAAAAAGTTGCGAAAATTATTGATAATTCAATTGATATAAATGAACCACCAGAAATTGTATTGAAAGATGACCTGATCACTATCAAACGAGGCATGTACGAAGATCGAAAGTTTATTCCAAAGTTCGATGATCCTTTAATGTTAGAAACATTTGGGTTTAGTTATGATCCCTCACCAGTGTTACATACACAGAAAAAAATCACTGCAAGAAAAACTGTTGATTTAAATTATGGATCTCATTTAATTTATGTTTATTCCGATATTGTTGCTGAACATTTTGTTGGTCAACAATCTGTACGAGTCCTCCGAGTTGTTCCTCTCAAAAGAGGGAAAAGTCATGATATTGTTCATGAAAGATTTGTTAAGCCACTTTATTTCCCAGTAAGAACAAATAGAATCGAAGAAATAAATTTCATTCTTGGTGATGAAACTGGAAGTTTAGTTAGATTTGCTTCCGGTAGAGTTCATATTGGTCTACACTTGAAACGTATTATATAAGAAGTTGATTAATGATTAAATTATAAAATGCAACGAAAAAAATATTGTTCATGTGAGTCCGATTTCAAAAGATTTTATCTTAATCAAGGTGGTAATGGATTCTCTGATATTGAATTGTTCAGAGGTTCACCTTACCAGAGAGGATATGGAATCGGAACGCTTATTAGAAGATTTAGTATACCATTATTAAAATATCTCGGTAAACAGGCTATTCGAACGGGAGTTGGAGTTGGTCAAGATATTCTAGAGAAGAAAAACATTAAAGAATCACTTAAAACTAGAGGTGTAGAAGGTCTCAAGAAGACAGCAATGGATGCCTCAAGCAAAATAAGTAAATTAGTCGGAGGAGGAATTAGAAAGAAAGTATATAAGAAGTCGAGGAAGAGGAAAAGAAAAGATATTTTTTCATAATGGAATATTTACATGCAGCCTCTGTTCCCTCAACAAAAAGTGAATTGTCACTTTTTTCTGTTCCACCAACACAAGTAGCAATCGAATCTTCATACGAAGTTGAATACAACCCTTCAGCATCCCTTGAATCAAGTCAATATCATGAGATATACATTCCTGCCTCTGATGATTTCACTGATCTTTCGTCAACAATGATTCATCTTAAAGTGCAAATACTTGAAGAAGGAAAACCAACAAAAAAAATTTTTCAAACCGTTCCCGATTTTGGACATGCAATTTTTGAACAAATTGACTTTATTTTAAATAATGTTAATACAGTCAAGTCTTCAAATATGTATCATTATCAAGCTTATTTAGAAAATCTATTATTTAAATATCCCTCCAACATCGATATTGGTTCAGAAGGTACAAATGGGAGTGATGAAAAAGAAATGTATTTTAATCTTCATGTACCAATTTGTCAACAAGATCGCTTATTGATTAATGGTGTGCCCATACAAATTTGCTTCACTCGATCGAAAAATGGATTTCCAATAGTTGTTGGTGATAAAACACCATTAACAGTGAAAATTACTAAATTATCGGTTCATATCAAGAGAATTAAACTCTTTCCTGACGCTCAAGCTGGTGTTTTAACTACACTTGAAAAAATTCCAGCTAAATATTTCATTGTTAGAAATGAACTTAAAGCATTTGCTCTTAATCCTGGTTCTAAAGATTATAGTTTCGAAAATGTACACAATGGAATCTTTCCGAGGAGAATGATTATTGGAATTGTTAATTCAAAGGCTTTTTCGGGTGAAATTGAATTAAATCCATTTAAATTCGAGCATTATAAATGTAATCACATCTCATTGAATGTTGATGGTGTCATGATTCCAAGTATTCCTTACAAACCCGATTTTATCGCTAAAACGGCTGTTCGCGAATATATTGATTTATTCAAAGCTCTTGATCAAAGTGAAGGTATCCCTCAGATTGATATTAAATACAGTGAATTCTGTGAAAGAAAAACATTGTTCGGATTCGATTTGACTAATGATGGATCAATTGGAGGAGAAAGTGGTACTTTGAATCTATTACGAAGAGGAAGTATAAGACTTGAATTAAGATTCGCTGAAACATTCACTGACCAGTTGAAAATTATTGTCTTCAGTCAATTTGATAATGTTATAACTATCGATAGAGATAGAAATGTTACATTAGACTATTAATGTTAACTACGGAGGATATTTATAAGTTAATGAAAAATAAGAGAAATTTTGGTGGGGTGTTTCCATCTGATAGATTACCAGTTTCATTTACTAAACCTAAAAGCTTCATAATTAATTTAGATCCTGGATATAAAGAAGGTTCTCATTGGGTCGCTGTTAAATTTGACTACAATGGAAAAGCAAGTTTTTTCAACTCTTTTGGCGGACCGCCTGAAGGAAATATTCTTTCATTTATTGAAAAACATGCACCAAATGGATATACATACAATCCCAATAAATATCAGGGAAATCTGTCAACTTCTTGTGGTTATTTGTCTATTTTATTTATTTGTTTGGCTAGTGCAAAGTTTATTAAAATTTTCGCGAAATGTAAATATGAAAGTAATGAGAGACAATTGATTAAGTTGATCAGAAAAAATTTTAATTAGAAATTGAATTGGTCAACTCTACAAATTGTCGCTTGATGCGATCACATTCTTGTCGCTTTTTAGCGACATTGACAGATTCTTTTTTCTGTAGAGCGATCAGCTTACGATTGGCTTTCAATCGTTTTTTACCAAGAAAATAAAGGACAGCTTCTGGATTCTCCTTCATTCGAGCTTCACGGGCCTTTCTTCGAATCCGTGATGATGTTGATGGTGTTTCACTTGGCTGTTGCTCGGCAAGACCCTCAGCCCACAGTTCCTCGAAGTGGGACCAATCCATTGATTCAACAGTTAATGTAGAATTGTATTCAGTTTCCATTTTTCACTTTTTAAAAATAAACTTTCACAAATGAAAAACTATAAATGAATGAGCATTAATCTTCTCTTTCAATTTTATAATGTCCATACGCGAGGGAGCTAATTCCATCTCCCAATAAATATCTTTTATCTTCCAGAGGCGTGATCGCTATTTTCTCTTGCGTATACATATGGATGTCATGGTTGGTTGAACCTAACCTTCGATTTGTTACCATATGGATTTCCTCTTGAAATAAACAACGTTTATAATCGTCAAATGACAGCTTGTTGGCGACAACTTGTCTCTGTACTCCCTTCGCTCTTTTTTTCACGCCCGATGCACTTTTAATAACGTAAAGTTTCGGTTTTATCGCAACAACTTCGTGAATTTCATCACCAGCCATTTCATCTTTCAAATATCCAATTTCTTTTTTATGTTCATCAGAGTGTAACGGATGATTTTGTGGAAGATCACTCAAGTCCATTACATGTTCAACTTGTTTCAGATCTTCAATCAAATGATTTGATTTCAACTCAATCAATAGAGAATCAGTATCGGAATAGATGAGTCGACAACGATCACCGAAAGTACATTTAAAAGTATCGTAATACAGTGTATAAACATGTAGTTTCGAGAGTTCAAGCACTGTAAATCCTGTTACAATTGGTTTGTTCATTAAAACTACATCTTTTTTCATCTGAAACATGACCTTATTTTCATCAATAATTTTGAATCTTTGTAGTAGATGTTTTCTCAGTCGTCGCGCAGCCATTGGTTCGGATGTTGTCACATCAACTTTGACATGTTTTCTTTTATCCTCCATCAATTTACCGTAAATACTATTCACGAATAGTTTATAAAGAGATGAAGTAAATGGATCTTTTGCTTGTTGTCTTTTCGATGTGCAGAACTCAATATAATCTTGTAGCCAAGGCAACGAAGAAAATTTGAGAATACGATGAATCTTAGTCACTTTGAGTCCTTTTTCCATATAGAATTTTAAATTAAGACCATGAACAACGTATTTTTCTCTCTTGAGAAAAGTGGCAACTAGTTTTTCACTACTTACACTATGATGACCTCTTTCTTGTAATTTTTCAACAATTCTTTTAGCATAAGGACTTAACATTTCATTATCTATCTTTAGTTTATGTGGTGCCAGTGGAAAGTCATCATGTTCATCATGAAGTTCAGATGGATATTCTAAATCAACTTCATATATATAATTGTAACCGGAAGAGAATCTTAGATCGCGAAGTACAGCTTCTTCATCATCGAAGTTTTTCCAAGCATAGTAAGCATATGGGAGGTAAGAACACATCGCATAGCCATAAAGATTATTCACATCAAGATATAGTAAATGTGTTTGATCACCACCGTCATATCCAGGTACATTTGGATTATTTGCTTTGACATATCGTCTAGCAACAGTGGTCAAACCGCCACGAATCCCTTTTTCAATCATCATTAACTTATCGATATCACAAAAAAGTTCAACTTCTATTTGAAGACGACGAAAAGCAGCAGCGAAAGAAAGTCCAGGGCCTGTCATATAGTGAGGTGGATCAATTTTAAAATCTTTCATTGATGTTTCTCTGAAATTCTCGAAAGAGGCTGCTAACATGTACACGTCAACTTTAAGATAAACATCGATAAGATCACCGAGCACTTCACAATTAAATTGATGCCAAATTTTTTCTAACCTTGAATACATTTCATCAGAAATGTTAGAATCAGTTAGAGAAGAATAAAATTTGTCTTTTGATGGTAAACAGTTGTCATAAAATTTATCAATAGATGAAATATATTCATAAGGTAATGTTGCTTTTTTTAAAACTTCTGACAAATCCCCAGTTGACCATTCTTGTCTTAAGAAGTGAAGTTTATCATCAGTTGATAAATTAGAACTTAAAGTGTCAAGACTCGTTGGTAAAAAGGCTAGAGAATCAAGAAAAGCAAATTGACCGATAAAAAATCCAATATACTTTTCAAGTGATGATGGAATTACAATAAGTCTAGCATTGAAAATATTTTCAGCGATATTCTTAATAATAATGTGTCCATCATAGTTTTTAAGGTTATGAAAGAAAACGGGGATACGAGTTGGTAAAGAACGTTGTAAATTACATTCTGGGTGAGCGGCACCTCTGAAAACACCAGTGAGATGACAATGATCACGTACTCTCTTTTGTAAATCAAGGTATTGGCCACAGATTACACAATAATCAGTTTTTTTAAAATCATCCTCATCTTCATCAGTCATTACTAATGGTTTAATATTTGCTTTCAAATAGTCTTGTAAAGGTTGTTGTAGATCTCTTATCTCCCGTAAAAAATCGCCTACGATATTGTTTCCATGACAAAAGTTTTTAAATAGAACATTTTTTTCCCAATCAACAACAATGTAACCATAACTACATGGTTCATGTCTGAATGGTTTTTGTGGATCACCTGTCGGAATAGACAAACACTCAAAATCAGCATAAATGACGAACGGGTGTTTTTCTTCTTTACTGAAATTCTTTTTCATTAAATAAGAGGGTTCACCAGTTCGTTTTGGCATAACAATACGTTGTGGTTCATACTGATCACAATCTACAATATGTGCAATAAGTTTTTGTTCATCATGGAAACCAATCAAACATCTTTGACAATATTTTCGTTGATATGACGATTTAGATGATAAAAGTCGTTGAAATGAAGTTATGGGATAATAATGATCACCATAAAGAAAAAGGAGAACATGTTTCTGTAATTGATGTTTGGTTATTCGTATTGGAATAACATATTTATCATCCATGTTGTAAGAATAAACATTTACTGAAATATTGTTGCTTCGTTCAAAAGTGTCTATTTGTTTCAAATCAACAATCCCGCGACATGAAGAGAAATCATATAAATCAATAAATGTACGATAACTTGATATTCGTTGACCATTTCGTGAAGCTGGATGAAGTGAAGCTAAAATTGAATACATAAAACAATCTGTTTCAGTTTTGAGATTTATTAAACACTTTTTTGAATTTAATTTTGCCGGTAAAGAATGAGAAGAACATCCTCCTTTATGCGGTTGATATTTACCAACACTTAGTTCAATGTATTGAATTGACTCAATCCAGAACCCACTTCCTTTCTCAGTAAACTGATCACAAATTTCTCTTATTTCATTAAAACTTTGAGAAATTTCAATATTCAGGTCATCGCCTTGATAAAGTGGTTTATTTATAGAGTGTAAATCTGCAACAACAGTGTCTATTTGTTGACTACTTAGTTTCGACATTTGAGTGTGTAAATTAATGTCATAAACTACACTGTGAGCTCCTTTCTCAAACAGTCTAGTATATTCTTCAATTTATCACTATATTTTCTTTCAACTTCATCGATATCAACTTCGTTAATTGAACATTTATAATATCGAATCATTCCATTATATGCTTGTTTAGTTAATATAAAATCATCAATTATAGATGTTGAAGGTGTTGGTAATGATGTTAAAAGAGATCGACCTTTACACTTGTGATTAGTTAAACGAGTTGATAGGTAGAATCTCTTTTTACATATTGTACATTGTTGACTCTTTTTTGTTGTTCTTGGAATTGGTCGTTGTATTTTTGGAGTGGTGAAGTCCCACTTTCTACAATTGTCGATGCATGGACACTCATGAGATAAGTAAACTCCTAAATTAATGTTGGTATAATTACAACATGGGCATTTGAAATCCTAAGATTAAAAAAATTTCAATTAAATCTAATCTAAAATGCTCATCATTCAACTTACCATTCTAAAGCCTATCTCCAATCGGGACTGGCAAGGTTTTCAAATCAACAACCGTTTATATACCCGAAAGAAAAAATCACGCATGCGTAAAGAAAAAAAAGTTTAATGGTCATGCGTATTCAAGGTTGATAAGAATGATTATTTACTCTTTTTTCCCAAAATTCTCCAGCTTGATATTTATAATGAATATAATCAAAATATTTTTTGGCCTTATCGTATTGATCAGAACTAATTTCGACTCCATCCCGAACAATCATTTCCATCCATGGCCAACGTTGTGGACCTTCGGTATTAGAGTTGACCCGTCCAGATGAAATACCGGGAAAATCAACCTCTCGACGAGCAGCACAATTCATTCTCTTAGTTTTTTCGATGAATCCCGCCAAGTTGGCTATTGATCCAACATGTTCAGCCACTTGTCTAGCTTTTCTTTGAGTTGAAAGCAGTATAGACAACGATACATAATTGGATTTGCTTCGATAATTCGTCTTTGATCTTCCTCCATTTTCTCAATTTCCTGAACTTCGTCACGAGCAGCAACAATCCAGAAGTTTTCCTTGGTTGTCTTTTTCTCTTCTGGACCAGAGAAGTTTATCAATCGTTCACCTGGCACGATCGTTTTGTCCCACCTTAGCATTGAAGTGACCAAACCATCCTCTTCATACCATTTCGAGATCTGAAGGCCACTCATTCATCACCTCACTCCTCGCTTGCAAAATAGGAGGTTCATCGGGAGTTCGAATCGCGGTATTAGAAGATGGTTCGTCCATTCGAGAAGAAGACGAGTAATACGACGGTCATCGATTGTCGAAGTTGATGGTTGGGGTTGCTCAATAGCTGAGGTTGAAGGTTGAGGTCAACGTTGGATGGAGAAGTGTTGATCAGCAGAAGATCGAGGTTGATTAATATTCATCTCTTCAAGTGACGGCATACTAATATATCTTGAGGTTGATTGAGACACTATTTGTTAAAGAAAAATGGAAAAGAAGAAATCAAGTAAAAAATGATTGAAATTGAATAAATAGATCAAAGCCTATTCATTTACATGGGAAAATGTTAAACCCATTTACTGACTTAAAATTGATGAAATAAAAACGCATGTAAAAACGTCATTCTCATGTAAAGAAGAAAGGATAAGAGTGAAAAAATTTTTGGAATTGAATAAATAGATCAAAGCCTATTCATTAACATGGGAAAATGTTGCACCCATTTACTGACTTAAGAATTGATGAAATAAAAACGCATGCAAAACGCGTCATTCTCATGTAAAGAAGAAAGGATAAAGTGAAAAAATTGAATTGAATAAATAGATCAAAGCCTATTCATTAACATGGGAAAATGTTTAACCCATTTACTAACTTAAGGATTGATGAAATTAAAACGCATGTAAAACGTCATTCTCATGTAAAGAAGAAAGGATAAGTGAAAAATTCTTGGAATTGAATAAATAGATCAAAGCCTATTCATTTACATGGGAAAATGTTAAACCATTCACTGACTTAAGAATTGATGAAATAAAAAACATGCAAAACGCGTCATTCTTATGTAAAGAAGAAAGGATAGAAGTGAAAAAATAAATTGAAATTGAATAAATAGATCAAAGCCTATTCATTAACATGGGAAAATGTTTAACTCATTCACTCACTCAAGATGTTGAACATCTGGCAACTTAGATCGTTAGCTAAGGAACAAAGTTAAAAATGTGTGGTTATGAAATGAAGGTATGCAAAAGTTAAGTGTAAACAAGTACAAAATGATCAAATTTCAAAAAACATTATCATAAATGAGCAAAGTACAGAAGTATATTAAATGTGGAATTTGGACCTCAACATAATTGATGGAAAAACAATGACGATAGACAAGAACTAGAGTCACGTGAATCAATTTATCTAACTGTAAAGGATCCTAGCTATAGTCATACAGAAGATCATAAAGAAAGATATCTACAATTCATAATGTTGTTATGAATCTTGGTCTAAAGCAAAAGAGAGAGATATAAACACTAGAGAGAGAAATGAAGTCAAAGGAACTAAAAGAGACTAAAAGAGACTGAGAGAGAGAGAGATTAACATAGGAGAAAAAGACACAAGAGAGAGAGAAAAACAAAGAGAGAGAGAGAAAACACAAGAGAGAAGAAAACAAGAGAGAAAACAAAGAGAGAGAAAACACAAGAGAGAGAAAACACAAGAGAGAGAGAGAGATAAACACAAGAGAGAAAGAGATAAACACAAGAGAGAGAGAAACACGGAGGATGGATATAAACACAGGAAGAGATAAACAAATCAAGAATTGAAATGGTGGTATTTCTTTAAAATTATCACATTATCCAACGTTATCGTAAATTGTAGATAAAACGAATGATTTAAATCAAAACAACTTACTTTTTAATGGTTGGTTGTTAATTTTCGATGTGGTGTAATAAAAAGATGACTTTAACTTTTTCTTGTGGATATAATCCAGGTATTTTATATCACAAAGATTAGATTGAATTATTAATTTAATAAATTAAATTAAAGATTGAAGATTAAAGAAACTTTAAACAAAACTTCAAAGAAACTTTAAAAGAAAACTTGATTATTAAATTTTAAAGATAAACTTCTATTTATCGTTTTACTTACGAATCTGTATGATAAAATGAATATTTTACGCTCATTCATTCATTTATAAGAATTATAATGGATGTGACCTGGAATTGAAAATGCCATTATGATCATTAAGATCGTTAATGATCTTTAAGATCATTAAGATCGTTAATGATCTTTAAGATCATTAAATCTCTTTAATGATTATAAAAATTATTAAATAGGGTGAAGGAAAGAGAGGTGGGAAATAGGTCGTGAAGTGAGTTAATGATGTGTGGAGGAGAGAGGAAAAGAAATTAAACTCAGGGTTAATTTGAAAAAATAAAACAAGTTAATGTTGAAGAGAAAGGGGGAAAGAAATTTGAAAAGAAAGAGAAAGATTAGAAAAGAAAGGTAAAAGGAAGGTGTAAAGGTAAATTGTGCTAAAGTGGTATGCTTTGCATCTACTGATGATTAAGATGATGATGATGAAGATTAGGATGAGGATGAGTAGGTTGTTTGTAATCGGATGAATTACTTTAATGATTTTTGCCAAAAAAGTGGTTCCTCTAATAATAATACACAAATGTTATCACATTTGTTACCAATCAACTAATCATCATTTTCATCATTGGTGATGATTAAGATGATCGGTCTATGAGAATTAAATTGTAAAATTAATCTTCAATTTATCAATCGGAAGGAAAAAGTTCTATCGAATTTGATAAAACTTTCCAAGTTCAAACTTTTGTTTTCATGATCAGTTACAGTATCTTTAATTGTTGTGAAACAATTGAATGAGTGTTAATTCTTAATTCTGATAAATCATTGAAATTGTAACAATCATTTTCCTAAATGATTAATGATTTATTATTGTATTTGGAAAAGTTCCCAAATGATAATCATGTCTAATGATAATAATTAACGATAATGATATTTTTCGTTAATAGTTGTTACTGATTCTCAATCTTTGATTAGCTTAAATAATTAATAAATTGTTTGTTGGGTGGTTTTAAATTAAGAAGCTTAAAAGACTTACAATTAACACACATACACAAATCATGAGGTAAATTTAATTAATTATTAGTGATTGTAATCAGTGGTTCAAATATTACTACAAATGATCAACATGATTTAAAGATAATAATCAAAACCAGCAAGCAAATTAATTGTTATTTAACATTTGAAATGATTAACCAGAAGAAAGAAGTAAATTTTAAAACTGAATCAATTAATTAACATGAACACATTGAAACGCCTTCAGTAACACCTTTAATCAAAATTGATTATTCTGTGTATTTCTTGTAATCATTGAAACAATTGGAGGTGGTCAAGTGGGCAGTGATTAGGATTGATGGTGATGGAGATAAGGATCATCATGATCAACCTCCTCATCATCATCATGATGAACATTTTTATTGGATAATAAGATGAGACTAAATCTATTGGTTTTTCAATAATCAAATCTAATTATAAGATTGTTTCTGCTTCCGTTTCATCATCATCATCATCATCATCTCTCTCTCTCTCTTACCTTATCATCATTTCATCTTGTTTCATTTCCTCTTGTTAATAGATTGACCTCAGGGCTTTTCAATGAAACTTTTTCTTTCTTTTCTCATCTTCATCATCTTTACCTTTCCAATGTTTTGACATTACCTTAAATTGTTAAGGTAAATTTATCTTCAACCTACCTTGATGAATCTTCATTTTCATCATCGGATTATCCAGTATCATCATCATCATCTTTAATTGCATTGGATTATTGATATAACTTATTAACTAACTAGCTAGTTAACTAATCAAAACTAACTATGCACTTGATATAAATCATAACTTTTTTTATCATCATCAACAACAACAACAACTTGTCTTATTAATATTTATAATTAATATGATATATTTTCATCATTGTGAAGGTCAATGTATTTACCTGAGTTTTCAAATAATAATTGACCATTCAGTTAATCTTAACATTACAATAATCAAATCTGTCCACTCACATTCAATTTGTAGTATAACAATTGATTGTGAATCAATTATAAATTTTCATTCACAAAATTGGTCATTCGTTAAATTATTAATCTTAATCTGTTAACCAACCAGACAATTGAAAATTGATTTAGTTCATTTAATGACAATTAAGGAGAGTTAATTTAAGCTTTGTTACAATCAAAGAAACACCGACTTAATCACTTGAAATAAATGAAGTAAATTATATAATTAAAGTTAAACTAATTTAAGTGCAAGAAAAAGCGTGAGATTAATAAGGAAAAGTGATTAATCTAATTGCAACAATTTAAGTTAATTTGGTTTTGTTATTTTTTTTTTTTCATCTTGATGATGAGCACGATCAACATGATGATTACAATGATGATGAGGATGCTAAAAATGATATTACCTATGTGAATGAATCATAAGTGCGTGTTGATTAAGTGTAGAAAATGTTTAATAGAAATTAAATTGTCACAATTAACTTAATTTCTATTACCAATCAATATTATCTATCAGTTAATTGTCTCATCAATTGCTGATAATCAATGAAGGATTAAATTATTAATATGAAAAAGTTTAACTGATCATCAATTAAGTTATTATTATTATTTTCCTCTGCTTAATTTGCTTAATTAGTTGCGGTTAATTAATTAATCGGATGAATTAATTGTTGTAATGTGAAAGAGCCATTTGCTGTTAAACAATTAGTTTTCATTGATGATCAATTTTAATCAATGATTGTCATCAATTTGAATATATCATTAGATTGGTAAGAGAATGAAAAAAATGATTAACTTTTAATTATTACTTTGGGTAATAATATTAATTGGTGACCTGGTTGATTGATTGTTACTTTAATTGTGATTATCGACATGAAAATAATTTACAAATCGTTTTTAATTGTTGATGAGTAACAAAAGAAGAATTTAAATTAATTTAATTATAACAAAATCGTTTCAAGGAAAATGATGATGAGGATGATGATGAAAGTGATGAAATTGATGAGGATGCTGATGGTGTAATGAGAGGTGATGATGACCATTGGGTGGGAATCCGGAGGAAAGTGAAAACGGATGAGATGATAAAATGGTCGCCGGTCTTGAGGCCATACGAATTTTTTCAATTTCCGCTTCTTTTAACCGTTTCTCTTTGGCTCGACGATTTTGGAACCAAATTTTGACCTGAGTTTCGGTTAAATTAAGAGAAGATGAGAATTCGGCTCTTTCAGCAATGGAAAGATATTGTTTAGCTTTAAATTTACGTTCTAAGGCGAGAAGTTGTTGAGTGGTAAAAGGAGTTCGAGGTTTTCGATTGGACTTGTGTCATGAAGTTGACATTTCATGGTTGTAGGTATTTTCAAGGGCTCTAAGGGTTCACCTGAGAAATTGGTACCATTCATTGATAGAATTGAGTTTGGTGTTGATGATCCGATTCCTCCGCCTCCTCCTTGGGCTGCAGCGGCAGCGGCTGCAAATCGATAGTCTAATAGTCCTGAAACAAGAGCTGCTGCGGCTGCTGTGTTTGTCGGAGAGGGTCGGTAAAGGTAAGCGTTCAGCATGGAGGCAGAGGTTAAGGTCGATAAACAATTTGAAGGTTCCTGTTGATTTGGTGATCGAGATGAAGATGATGCTGATGATGATTGTCGTGGTAAAATTGGTTGGGACGATAAAGGTGTCAATCGATTATCATCTTCCGGTTCCGGTGTTGATCGAGCTGAAGAGAGTGACATAGTTTCCTGATTATTTGTATCTTCATCATTTGATTCATTATTATTATCCCAATCAATTGTTGTTGTTGGTGTTATTGATTGTTGAGAAGTAGAATCACAATTAATAATAATCCTTGAACCATTCTCTTGATCAGTTGATTTAGCTGATTGTTGATGATTAATTGATGATTTTGAAGTCTCATCTAATCCTAATATTTGTTGAATATTAAAATGTGATTTACTTGGTGTAGTTGATAATGAACTCGGTGTTACCATGACTTTGGTATATCAAATCAAAACAAAAAACAAATTGTAAGACAAAACAATTAACAACTTTGTTAACAATCAAAAAACAAAGTTTAACTAAATTTAAAGCCAATTAAAGGACATTAAACATACTGATAAGGCAAAATTACATTCAAAATGGTGACACAAGTAAATTAACTGATTGAATGATCAACAATCAAACAAAATGTTCAATTAGAAATCAATTATTGATAATAATTAAAATATCAATAAACAGTGTTGACTGTTGGCAATTTGTTAGCTGGTTTCACCTTTATTTTGACTGAAGTTGATTAAAAATTATGATGATGATAAGGATGAAGATGAAGATGATGCTGAAGATGAGGATGATGAGGAAGATGAAGAAAAGTTTGTTTTGTTAATAACATTATAGTTCCGCCTTCAACTCCACCCAAACATTTAGTTCTAACCAATAAGAATAACGATTTACTGTAGAAAAGGAGGAGTTAGAACTTTTTCCCATTCGAGTTGATTGTTGAATCCAATTTCAATTACGATAATTAAGAGAATCATGAGCAACAATCAATAAAAATTAACTAATTTTCTTAATAAAACCTGATAACTTTGAGCTTAATCCTTAATCACCTTAATCATGTTTATCTTATTTTACCTTTTTAACTTTACAGTCTATTAATTGTTGTTTCCTTAACACAACAATTAACCTTGTGGTAAATGGTAACAATTAAGGTTAACCTCAAATTGTTGGATTATTTTTTTTTAATGAGTATCACTTGATTAACAATCAAAGTTTTGACTGTTTAAGTCTTTGATTTTGAGATATTTGAGAGAAATTAGTGAAAAATGATCAATTATTAGTTGAACGAATCAAGCTAATTGTTGTTCAATTAGAAATGATCTTATTTAAGTGTCTATCATGTTATAAATAAATATCAATAGCTGATAATTATAATTGTCATGATTAGTTGATTACTGAATATGAGCTGTAAGTTGTCATATTTATTATTCATGTTATTGGTTGGAACAATCAAATTGCAATTATCATTAACGTTACCAGATAATTTTTTCACTACAATCTGTCATCGGTCCTATTTTTTTATCCATATCTTTATCTTCATCTTCATCCTCATCCTCATCACCAACCGCACACTCAGCATCTCTTAGCATCATCTTAACATTTGCCAATTTCAATTTCAATTTTAAATTCAGATTCGATTCCAACTTCATCATCATCTTCATTATCTATTTATAGTCTCATTTAAATCTATTATTATTACATCATGATAAATATCCTCATCCTCATCCTCATACTCATCTTCATCCTAATCTTTATCCTCACCACCATCATGATAATGATGCTGATCATCATGAAGATGAAGAAGAAGATGATGATGATGATGATATTTGAGTGATATGATTATCAATGAATTCACACCAAGATAATTACAAGTGTGTTAAACATAATAATAATTATCAACATCATCAATTTTCAAAGACTCGATGATAACAATTTGATTCACAATCAACTAATTATTAACAATCGGTCATAATTTAATCTTCTCTCAAATATTAATATAATAATTTATTAATAGTTATTCACCAAGTTTCAAACAAGTTTCTCATGAATAACGAGCTGTTTGAATATCTTTCACCATAGATTCAAGTATTAATTCAAGAGTTTAAGTAATACTTATTTGTCATATTTTAGCATCAAGATCATTTCGATCATTTCGTAAGAAGCGAGATCTCTCAAGGTCATTTGATAGTCGCAATCATCATGTCTAATTTTCAAAGTTGAATTCAATGTTACCATCAAATGACCTTGAAAATTACTCCTTGTAAAGGGAGCTCGTTATTATTGAGAAATGACAATAAAGTTTCATCCAAACTCTCAGAATCTGAAGTCAAAATCCTCAAAATCAAAACGTTATTCATGAAAAAAAACTTGATGAGCTACCCTGTAGATCAACATATCAGTTTAAGACTTTAATTGTTTCACATTTAATGTTAAATATATTGATAACTGTAAGTTCCTGATTGTGTTAATTGGCAACGATCATAGAAAATCAATCACAATAATGAATGAAAATCAAATGTTGCATGAAAACGGTTTTCTAATTTTGTCAACAATTAGGTGAACTTAATTGTTATTTGAAAATTTTGCCCGCTTTAAATTGTTAAAATCAATTATCGTCTTGAAAAGTTTTGTGTTTTTAAACTTGATCTTGCCAAGATGATTAACTTAATTAGTATGATGAAAAAAAGGCTGAATATCAATTCACCATTAGCAACATCAACAGTTTGTAAAGTTGATACTTACCGGAAACTCAACAATTAACTTTGCAACAATTAGATTAGTTCTGGTATCATAGCTTGAAACAATTTACAAGCAAAATGATTATCATCAAATTACAATTAACACAATAACCCACCCATAATCATTACTGACCATTACAATTACCACCCACTGACCATCAGCAATCAGCTTATTATCACTAAACTGAGCGACAACAATTTAAATTAAAACACAACAAAACAGGATAAAAAATTAAAGGATAAACATTAATGTGATTTTAATTGTCTTTGACAATTGTTTAATTACGAATAGTAAAACAATTCAATTAAGCTATAAAAAAAATAAATCGTATCATCACAATTAAGATGCTGATTCTTTAATGATTAATGATTGATTAATGATTTTATCAAAGAGTAAGAATGTTAATCTTGTTTAACTTAATATGATTTGTGATGATGATTAACTTGATTACATACAAGATGATGATCCAGGTGAAGGTGATGAGTTAATTGTTTTCCTAGTATCAGAATTAATTGGATTATTATTGTTACTATTAAATAGATTTGATTGAGCCAACAGATTAAGGTGGGACATTAAACCAGCAAATGGATGAAGATTAGATTGGGATGATGATGGATTAACATTAGATTGATATTGATAAGGATTATGATGACTAGAGGATGATGATGATATTGGAGGTGATGAAGATGAGATTAAATTATGAGCATGATGATGAGGAAGACCATTGGATGATAATACTGATGGATGATGTGCTTGATTGTGGTGATGGTGTAATGAGAGGTGATGATGACCATTGGGTGGGAATCCGGAGGAAAGTGAAAACGGATGAGATGATAAAATGGTCGCCGGTCTTGAGGCCATACGAATTTTTTCAATTTCCGCTTCTTTTAACCGTTTCTCTTTGGCCCGACGATTTTGGAACCAAATTTTGACCTGAGTTTCGGTTAAATTAAGAGAAGATGAGAATTCGGCTCTTTCAGCAATGGAAAGATATTGTTTAGCTTTAAATTTACGTTCTAAGGCGAGAAGTTGTTGAGTGGTAAAAGGAGTTCGAGGTTTTCGATTGGACTTGTGTCATGAAGTTGACATTTAACTGAGCCCACGGTGGGTAAGGATGATAGGCCTGAGTTGAGGGACATTGAATGATGAGAGTGGGACAAGTGGTGCTGAGCGTGATGAGGATAACCATTCGGGTGCCCTTGGAGTCCGGACATTAGGGCAACTGCTGCAGCGGTTGTGGGTCGATATAAATAAGCATTCAACATGGATGCTGATGAAAATTGTGGGAAACCCTGTTGTTGGTGCTGTTGATGAGGTGTTAATGAGGGGGAACAAGTTGGAGTCGGTGTTTGATTTTGATCAGAATCCATATTCTGAACTTTATCATGACCATTACTTTTCTGTGATGATGTTGATGATGATGACGATTTAGCCTCTTCATTATTGCTTTTAATTTGATTCGATGGAGATTGTTTTTGTTGATTGTTTGGTGATAATGATGATGATGATGGTCGAGGCTGAGGTGATAACGATGCTGATTTAGTCTTGGGACTGTTGCAATTGTCGTTGGATTTAGTTTTCTTATCGTTTGGTGAATTCCAACCACCATTAGTGATTATTATCGGTGTTGGTGTTGGTGTACAAATTGTTCCATCACCATCACTATCATCATCTTCTTCATCCTCATCAATTTCTTCACCTTCCACTTCCACTTCCTCATCTTCATCTTCGTCACAATCGATCGGTTCAACAATTGGTGTACTTCGACCTGAATCACACTGGTTAATTACAATCGATGAGGTTGTCGATTCATCTAAGCCCAAAATTTGTTGAATATTAAAATGTGATCGACTGGTTAAAGATTCAGAACTTGGTGTTACCATGATGATTCTGGTAGACATGAAATTATCGTTAATTTAACTTTTAAATTCAATGAATCAAACGAAAGCAATTTAAACACATTAGTACAAAATCAAACTCAAACTTGACGAAAAGTAAAAAAAAGTCAAATCCAAAGTTACTAATATCAAAACAATTTAATTACTAAATTGTTAATCACTTGATAATCATTTCCGTTCATCTGAAGCAATTACAAACTCATAGATTTCGGTTAATTGTCACTTAAGTTAAATGTTAACAATCACAATAGGAAACAATTAAAATTGCACACAGAGATTCAATGATTTAGTTTGTAAATACAAAATCAAACAATTTGATTGTGTAATTGTGATGATTACAAACTGATTATGATTAAGATTATGATTCAAATGATTAGGTTGATGGTGATGACGATTTAACAAATAATAAACATCATTTGAGTTCCGCCTTCAATTTAGATAACTCCTCCTTTGGAACTGTAGATTGGGAGGAGTTTAAACTAAATACTAGTTTTCTAATTATAATTAACAATTAACTAGTTAATTAACAATCTATCAAAAACAAAGAAAACAAAAGGTTCATTTTTTGCTGTAACGAACTGGAAACAATTAACAATTCGAGCCCGAATTTATTAGTCACATTGAAGCTTCTCGTCTCAACGAATCAAACAATCAACTCAAATTAGTGACAATTAAATTTAATCCGATTATCGTAAGTAATTGTATTCTCAGTGTTTCCTAAAAGTTCATGATCAGAACAACTTTCTGCTGGTTGAAATGATTTTAGAAGGTTAAAAATACAATCAGCTGATTATAGAGATTCAGGTAAATAATATTTACAATCGTGAAGATATTTATCATCATCATGATTCATCATCTTCTTCATCATCTTCATCATCATCTTGTTCTTACCTTGAAAATGATGAACACAACTAATTTGAAAGAGAAGCAAAAGTTTGAGAATTTTTTTCAATTTTCTTTTTTCTTTCCAATGATAATAATTAACTTAAACTCTCATGTCAATTATGGTTAACCTCAAGGCGTAAATTAGTAAATTAATCAATTGATTAATTATCCTATCACCCAATACATTTACCACCATCACCTTGGATCGTTTAATTGATCATCTTTATCCTCATCCTCCTCCTCATCATAATCATCATCCATTTACTTTTGCCTGAGGTCACAAAATGAAAATCGTTTGTTAAGATGAAATTTCAATTGTAAAACAATTTACTCGTTAACAAAATTAGTAAACAATTTAAAATATTATTGAAAAATTTAACAATTAACCTTAATCATCAAATATATTGATCAACACAAATTGATTACTATCTTCATCCCTAACAGTCACTATTGTTTATTTCATTCATGTTATTGGTTGGAACAATCAAATTGCAATTATCATTAACGTTACCAGATAATTTTTTCACTACAATCTGTCATCGGTCCTATTTTTTATCCATATCTTCATCCTCATCTTCATCACCAACCGCACACTCAGCATCTCTTAGCATCATCTTAACATTTGCCAATTTCAATTTCAATTTTAAATTCAGATTCGATTCCAACTTCATCATCATCTTCATTATCTATTTATAGTCTCATTTAAATCTATTATTATTACATCATGATAAATATCCTAATCCTCATCCTCATACTCATCTTCATCCTGATCTTTATCCTCACCACCATCATGATAATGATGCTGATCATCATGAAGATGAAGAAGAAGATGATGATGATGATGATATTTGAGTGATATGATTATCAATGAATTCACACCAAGATAATTACAAGTGTGTTAAACATAATAATAATTATCAACATCATCAATTTTCACAGACTCGATGATAACAATTTGATTCACAATCAACCAATAAATCGTTCAAATAAAATAGTAGCAAACTAAATCTATCTGGGCAGTTATCAACATTTTAACAATCAAATGAATTAACTAAAACAACGGGATGAATACAATATTGGTATAATCATTAATTTCAATTTGAGATGTTTAATTGCTTCCAATGATTAAACATCGATATGCAAATAAATAGGTCTAAGTAATCAATTTCTTTCATTTAATTGTTTATCGTGTCAATTGTAATAATGGTTTAAAGTGATTAATATGATGACTTAATTGTCTTTATCTGAAACTAAATTAAGTTCATATGTCACAGTGATTAATACTCATTTAGAACTGTTTTGTTTTATTCAATCAATCAAATCTGAGCTCAAATTGATTGCAATTAACTGATTGTGTGATAAATGAAAATATTGTTGGTTAATCATGATCATTGATTAACAATTATTTCAAAGCAATTAAGCTTCAAATGCTTTTGTATATCAAAAAGTCACAAACAAAAAACTTAATCAAATTTATTAATTATCCCAGTGGATACGATACAATAAAAAAAACCTTTAATTATCCCATCAGTTAATTGTTATTATTTTAATTGAAAAATTAAACTTTGACAAACAACAATTAAGGTCAATTGGAAATCATTATTAAATCAATTGCGTGAGTTGATCAATTTTAAAGTTTAAAATGAAAAACAAAAGTTTCGAGAGCGATTCGAGTTTTTAATTGTTATTAGTTAAGTTAATTACTCCTGGATTACTGTAAATTGTAATGATTTCATCTCTTGGATGATAATTTAATGATCAGTATGATTTAAGACTAATTATCTTATCGCATTGAACATTAGAACTTTTTTTTAATCGAATCTGTTTCTCTCTTTCTCTTTCCACTCGTCTTAATGATTACTAATCATTAGCAGTTTCATCAGATTGATTCAAACAATATAATGATTAGTTAATTATCATCTAAATTTCTGATGGAAAAATAAATCAATAACAAAACGATTTGTTTATTATTGGAAAGAAAGAAAGAAGAGAGAGAGAGAGGGAGAGAGAGAGAGAGAACTTCGAACTAATCTAAATACAGAACTTTCTTACTCATCCCTATCTTTTTATCCTCCCACTTCCTCTTCCTCTTTATAAGAGCAGTTTAACCAATCAAGTTGGAGAAAATAATTCAACTAATTTGCATATGTGATGATAATGGTTATACTTTTAACCCGCAATTTGATGACAATTAATGACAATAATGATGACTGAGTAAACTGTCATCATTAGAAGGAGGATATTTCCTGTCTTAAAGTCACCAATTTGAAACCACAAAACTGTTTGACCAGAACAACAGAATAAGAAGAAGATGAAAAGAAGGAGATGATGAGGAAGATGAAGAAAAAATTGAATGGAATTTTCATCCTCATCATCTTTGTGGTTTCAAGTGAACCATTTAAAGTCTCAATGAGTCTCAGTAGCATCAAGAGTGTAAATGAGCTTCTTGACGGGAGATGTCAGGAAGACAGAGAGAAGATGATAAACTATTAATATAAAGAGAGAGAGAGAGAGAGAGAGAGAGAGAGAAATATGTATCTTATTTATCTTCCAAAAATATTTGTTTTCATCTCAATCATCATTTGCATCCTCATCATTTACAATAAAATAACATTCATCAAACTCAGTCAACTATTTGCTTTATTTTCTTAACGATAACAATTAACGATGAACCATGTTAATTGTTATCATTACCATAGGTAAATTGTCCTAAATCAGTTATTTTACAAGATGAAAATGATGATGATGATGATGATGAAAGATGCTATCAAGATTAGTAGATTAGATTAAACCATTTGATTGTTTTAATAATAGTTAACTGGATAATAACCAAGAAGATGATCTTGATTAGAGGAAAAAGTCAAAAATGATAACATTATGATAACGATGATGATGATGATGCTGGTGATGAAATTGATTAAAGCCTTTACTACAATTATCCACCAAGGAAGATGATTTAGAAATGATAATCGGTTTAAGTGTCATTAACGAGTGATTAGTTGATTAGTTAAACGGGAAAATAAATTAAAGAAGCTAAAAAAACATAACAACAACAATTTAAATCCAAACAACAACTTCCACTGACAAGGTTAACATAATAGGTTAATCAGTTGATTAGTCAAGTTAGTTAGCCATTTACATTGACACGGAAGATGAAGATAAGATGATAAAAAGAGAGAGAGAGAGAGAGAGAGGTAGATAATAAGAAAGAAGATGATAAAGAGAAGAGAAAGAGAAGAAGCAGAAAAAAAATAAAGAGCCTGAGGCGAAATGTTATGAAGAAATTGATGAAAGATAAAAAAATTAACCATGAAAAAGAAGATGAGTTTTTCATGAGAAGAAGATCATCTTCCTTCATCATCTTCTTCTACATCTTCATGTAAGTTGAGTATCATCAGCATGAGGTAAAGAAGGAAAATATTTCCAAACTGACCAGTGGTCCAACAAGTGACCACTGATTGTAACTTATCAGTTGCAGATCAATGGACAAACTTGATCCCTTGTAAGTGTTACAAGTTTATCTTAAGGCAATTGTATTAGTTTTCCTTGTGAATGACTTGCAAAAAAATAGACCCACTGGTCATCTGATGGTCAACATTGATTACTGATTGTTAATTGTTAACAATCAAGCCAATATTGGTTACGTTTATGCCAATAAGCAATCAGGGAAAGAGGTTAATTATCAACTAGATTGATTTGTGATTAGATTATTATTCAATTATGATGGTTGATTTTGTTTCAACTAATTTGATTTTTTCGTTTACCTGATCAATTGATTAACGATTTCAATCAATACTTTTATTTAATTGTTTTGGTCTTTATTTGTTTATTATTTTTAATCAATTGTGCTGATTGATTTTTAATTTATTGCCTTCTATTATTAATTACTTTGTAATATAAATAAATAGTTGATTAACTTTAATTTTCCGTTTTAATTGCAATGAACAATTAACTTAATTATTACGTTTTAAGTGTTCACATTTTTCAAACCAATTAAATTGTTTGACAGTTTTGATTGATTTTACTAAATTAACAATTAATATCATTTAGTCAATCAATCATAATATTAGTTTGATTTGATTTGTTTTAATTGATTTTAA